CTTTTCCTAGACTAAAGGCTGGAGAATGTGGAAGCATTGTTCCTCCATGCTAGCAAGCAGCTGTTATTAACAATGAAAGCAAAAGATAAATATTGACTAAACTAAAAAGACTCCTTTACAGAAATTTACTCAGTCACTGTCAAAACAATCATAGCTACTCCCTTCTACTCTATAAAATACTGTGCTATAGGTTTCTTTTAGTAGGGCAGCTGACAGATGGCCAAGCATGTGGATTTCTTTTACCCTCTACTTCTTATACACTCTACCACTGCAGTCCATGGGGTCGCAAAGGGTTGGACACAACTGAGCAACTGAACTGAACTGAACTACTTCTGGAATCAAGCAAAAGAGAGACAAACGGAGCAATTTCTAGTGAACACAAGGATGTCCTGGGATAAGCAGCTCCCTAGTCAACAAAGTACTGCATCTGTTATATAAGGCAATGTGGACCCTGAAGAATGGGCCAATCCTCTGGCTTACTTATAAATATAATTTAGGAAGTGGTCAGTGCAATTTCAACCTCTGTGATATTTTAAAAGTAGAACTGATACATCATAAGACTTGGATAAACCAAAGCTTCAGAAATTCTAAGTGGTTTTATCAATATACCCTGAAGAATGTTTTAGATCTTTCAAGAAAAAAATATCAAGTACTCTATACCAAAAAAAAATTTGTCCTTCATCATTTTTTTAAATTGGATGATACTTATGAGTCATTATTTCTTTATTTTGTTTTTAAATCACTAGCTTTCTACTTTCTCTCCTATAGGATCTCATTTAAGGTCTCAGTTTTTACAAGTATTAACTATAGCACAAAAATTATTTTAGATTTTCCTATTGGTAAGAGCAAAGAAAGTATTTGGGGAGGTATTTCAAGTAAAATGAAAAACTGAGTTTACTAAGTAGCTTCTCTTGAAGGTTAAGCAGTTCATAAAATACTGCTTTTTCTGTTTTCTTCTTTCCTAAGCCCCTTTTTTTTTCTCTAAAAAGAAAACACTTCCAGTTTTTCCTAATGTCTAAAAGATTAAAGAACAATAGCTATATTCTAATTTAAAAGAAATTATTTTTATAGTTAAAAATTTCAAAATGGCAACTAGTTTACTGTCACTCAAACTAATAATGCCTGCCTATTTGCTAAAGAATCAAAGACAGCATATACACAGAAATGTACTGCCTAAAGCAATAATTACACTGAAGGCCTTGGAAATATCTTGTTTTGTTTAAATCTAAAGTTCCACCTAAAAGTCCTTAAAAACCTACTTTCTTTCAGGTACCTACCCTCTACCCATAAGGGTACGGCTCCCTACAGCCCAAAATTTATGGATGAAGAGCTTGAAAAAATACTGAAATTTAAATAAGGAAAGCTAACCTAATAATGTTTCAGACACAGATTCAGTCAGTAAGCACTTTGGATGGAAGCCTTCCATGAGACATTGCATGCCTGTAATGAACTCGCCACATAGTTCCTAAACTGTATCTTCCTAACTACATATTTTGATTTTACTAGCCAAAAATGTATCTAAATCTTGCTATTGCATTTATGCTCTTGACCTTTACAACTTCTTGGAGTAAATAATGTGCACTCTCTCTACCTATTAGAATCACATGTAATGATTGTAATTCCTTTTATTTGTCTAAAAATGATCTTATCTTTTATCTTAAAACTAAAAAGAGGAATTTCCTACTTCTACCATTTGGGTATTTGGCTATATAGTATGTTTGTATCCATCCTACTCAATGGCCCTCATTACTTTATTTTATAAACTTTGAATCACCAATAACAATTTGAAATGCTTTCCCATAACAGAGTCAACTAAATAAGGAAAATAAAAATCCAATCTCGAGAAGTGTAAAATAACAGCAAATAGGCTATGGGACCATTCTAGGGCAAAGAATATAGCACGGTTATTCTGGAAAATTGCAACTGAGGAGTTTGGAACTTTATTAGGAAACCCTTGTGTTTCAAAACTATACCCAAATATATCACACTTCTTGCTCTTTTGTTCTTCGTCAAGAAGTATTCTGATGGATTTCTAATTGACTGAGCTTTCAGCTCATTAGTGATAGCCTAATAAATAAAAGCGTGTATCCGTCCTTTTCTCTCTCCCTCTTGTTCCCTCCCTCTCTGTATTCTGCTACTTTTTACATCTCTCTTTTGCCCCTTGAGTGTGTGAAAGAATGTATTTCCTCTGCATCTATCTTTGTGTCTGAGTGGATACCTGTCTGTATTTTATCTGTGTGCATCTCTACATATGTTTCTACTCCATCTGATTCTCACTAAAAGATCTGATCTTTTCATAAGAAGAAAATGAGGTTGTGTCAGAAAGAGAAGAATTTCATGGAGTACAGGTCAATAGCCAGTCCCAAACCATCTTCCTTCAATTCTTAAATATATTGGGAGTACTGCTTCCTTTTTTTTCCACTAGAGCTCTGCCAATACATCACTTTCAATGTTGTTAAGTTACTGAGTAATGAAATCTTTACTGTGACAAACTCAATCCATCTGTGAGAACCCTGACGGGTATTTTCTGTTAATCTCAATTAAGCAATTTCTCAGAATGAATTTTTTTATTTCTCTGCCAAATCATATAGAAGTGACAACAATGGTGGGATATTCCCACAAAATATAACACTGTAGTTCTCAATTTCTGAGGTACTTCCTGTGTAAGTGGCATTGAGACATTCCAGTACTGATTACATACACAAGGACATACACTTACCTCAAATATCTAACACATTTCAAACAAAGCTGAGAAGTTTTGAGTAGCTGTATTGTAAGTTAGCCACAAGCAATTAGAGGTGATATTTAAAATGTGAAAACAGATGAATTTTCATTTGTACTTGGTGCTATGCATGGAAAGAAACATTAAACCAGTGAAGCAATTATAACATGAAGTGTAAAAAAGATAAAACGTTCATTAATTTGGATAGTGGATTTAAAAATGGAGGCAATAGAAGCAGCTATTTCTAAGCCACATAAAGTAAGTCATAGTTTCATGGTATATCAGAAATAAAAGATATTCTGCAAACTGGCTCATAGTTTCAGTCTGTATAAGAAGTTTCATCCAAAGATGCTATATGAGTAAACTTCAGTCATTTCTCATCTACTTTCTAGTTACCATGAGGAGAAATAGAGAACCCTCCAAATTTTAAGGCCTTCTCTTAAAAATCCTCTTGCAGACCAAACTGCATGGAGTTGAAATAACCCAAGAGGATGAGAAAGCTGAAAAAAAAGGGCTTTATCTTAAAAGCTATATCTTAAATAGCTAATTGCAATAAATTTTAAATTTCCCAAACTAGTTGTTTTAACAGCAATATCTCTTTGTATTCCAGGTTTCTATACAATATTAATATAGGAAATAATGTATTAACATATAAATTGTCTACCATGAGTTCATATTTTATATTATCATAAAAAATCAAACACACATTCAAAATCACATTGGAATGGCTAAAAATATAGTTATTTTTTAAAACTAGACCAGGCCTATTAGTCATTTTTTCCAACCCCAAAAAGTCAGTTCAAGATTTGAAACAGGCATTGATAAAATAGGAAGAAATAAAGTCAAAAGTCACAAATTAAAGCCTAATACCATGTCAGAGACTGATGAAAAGTACCTTGGGACACTTACATTACAGTCCCAAAATCAAGGGAAATATTTGCAAACCTAGTTTTAGAAGAGATTAAATCCTAAAAATTAACACAACCTAATCTACCAATTCAGGAAAAGCACAATTGTGCCTCTCTCTGTCTTGCCCACTAAGCAGGGAGCTTTTTGAAAGCAGAGTGTCTTAATCATTTTTATCCAAAGGACCCCACAGAGTGTCTCTTGTATAAGGCATCCAAATAAATATTGTTTAGTTGAATGAACGAATGAATGAATGAATGATTAAACAATGATTATGGAACTGCATAGAGCATTTCCACTGCTTTAGTCCAAGATCTACTGTAATTAATATGCAGAAATGTCTTTCTCATAATTCTCCAAGCAAAGGATCTCAAAATAAAATAACTGGCTTCTGAAGGAAAAAAGGAGCAACTTTAAAGCATCTTTTACATATCTTGCTTGTAAAATTAAAAATTATATAAAAGATTTGAAAACAAGTAGAAGATGTATACTTCAGTAAAATGCAAAGTTTACAAGGTCCTAAAAGGTGAAATATATAGCCATCCCCATTCAGATATCTTAGAGGAAATGAATGCACAAATGGACAGAAATTTAAAGTCACTTTAAGGCAAGAAAACCCTAGTCTCGGTAGCAAGGTAGGACGGCATTTTTTAAATTGTTTCTTTAGTTACTTTAAAAGCACAGTAGCTATTGCTTCCCCTCTACCTTTCTCCTGTTTAAGTCAAATCAAATACATCATACAGATCAACATAGACCAATGCCTCAGAAAAGAGAAACTTCAAATTTGACCAAAATAATCGCCTTTCCTTTTTTCCAGAAGGGATTCTTTCTTAGGTTCAACTCCAACCAGCCTCCCAAACTCTAGGCTCCTTTCAACGGTACCCATTGGGCCTGAAAGCCATTCCAGAGACTTAAATCTTAAGGAGCCACTTTCACAGCCATTCCCAACTTAAGGGAAGCCCTTCCACCGAGATTAAAAATTTAATCAGTCTCTGCAGTCTACTTGATTCAGGGAAAAAAAAAAAAAAATGTGGTGGAAAGATGAAGGAGAAAGACATCCCTCAACAAACTCAACTCTATTCTCCAGCTCTGCCTCCTCCCTACCCGCTGCTCCCCTTCGACTTCCTCTGCTCCCGGCTCTGGACAGGTGGGAGGGGGGTGAGTACTTTTTGGGGAGGGGCTGCAACAAACTTTCCTTCTGCCACCTCTTTCCCACCCCCACCTCACATCAGGTCCAGCTGGTAACTGAAGCCACTGGGAAGGGCTGTCCGTATCCCCCTCCCCCCTTGGGAGAGGGATGAGATGAGGTGGATGGGGGGCGTGGGTGGGCAGGATGCAGGTGGAGGGGTCTTCTGACTGTAACTCTTCTTACCACTGGAGCGCCTGACGATGTTTTCCAGAAACGTGTTCTGCGGTGCCACCAGCCCTCTCTTGCCCCCCGGCATCCTGGGTCTAAAGAGCAGCGGCCAGGATCCGCGGCGGGGGAGGGGGGGTTGCAGGAAGAGAAGGTGGAGCAAGAGGAGGAAAAGGTGGAAGAGAAGATCGAGCCGAAAGAAGAGGGGGCGCGGCGGCGGCGGCGGGGTCCCCTGACTGTGTCTCCAGCCCGACCCGGATGAGCAGCTCTGGGGAGAAGGACCAGGCAGTTCATGGTAGTAGCACTCCCCCGGCCGCCGCTGCCCAGACTGTGGCGGTGCCGCGCACGGGGCTCGGGAACTGCAGGCTCCGCGGGGCACAGTGCGCCTGCGCCGCCCCCGCTGTCGCTGTCCCGCCGGTGCTGATGCTGAAGCTGCCGCTGAAGCTGTTGTCGCGGCGGCGGTCACCTAGGCGCGGGCTCAGCATTTCTCCCCCTGCCCCGACCACCGGGGCCGAGGGAGCAGGAAAAGCCCACTCGAAGCCCTCTCTGCCAGAGCCTTTACTGCCCCTTCCTCTCTCCCTTCGCTAGCCCACCCCTCTGGCGCGGTTGGGTCAGGGCTGCCCGGCTGAGCCCAACTTCTGCCCGGCGGTGCGCCCGGTAGCCGCTCCTCTCTCCCCGGAGATCGAGGCTAACGCTCGCTGTCCAGTGGGGCCCTGGAGAGGGCGAGGAAGTGGGGAGAGGCAGGCAGGATGCCAAAGAGGACAGTGGGCAGTCGGAGGGGGTCACATCTCGGTTTCTCCTGCCAAGGTCCCGAGTCCCGACTGCTCCCGAGAACGCAGCTGCCGTGGCAGAGGTGTTGATCGTCTCCCGCTCCAGCCCGGGCTGAGAGCGGAAAGGGGACTGACTGGGCGGCGCGCGGGGACGCAGAACAGCCACCTGACGCTGCTACCGCCCCCCTCTGGGCTTGGGCGCCCGAAGCTCAGCAGAGGAGCCCTCCTCACCCGCCCTGGCCCACGCCTTGAGCCACAGCCAGATAAGGTCCGAGCGCAGAGCTGGGGGCGCAGAAATGGCCCCTGCACCCCAGGCTGAGTCTGGCGCGCGGTGGGGCGCGGCGACTACACTGGGATGCTTCCCAGGGCTGCGGAGCGCAGTGGCGAGCGGCGAGCCCCGCCGCTGCTAAGTTGCGGGAAGGGTTGCACTTAGTGAAATGAGTAGGGGAAGAGGGTGACTAATTCACCCGCCTAGAGAAGAGTGCAGCGAGCAGCGTTTGCGGTGGAAAAACAGTGACGGCGGTGGGCGCGAAGCTGCCCAGGTCCGGAGACTGCGAGCGGGAATCGTTTCCAACAAAACTCGGAACCCGCGACAGGAGGGGAACCGTTAAAAACCGAGCCCACAAGCCCACAGGCTCAGAGTCTGTAACGGAGAAGGGAAAATAGCCTAAGTGCGAAGGGACTGGGGAAACAGAGGGAAAGAAATGAGGAAGCTCAGGACGGCAAGGGTACTTCCTTTTTACCTAAGGCCGTGGTTCTAAGTGGTCCCGGACTGGAAGCACCTCCTAAGAACTTGTTTAAAATGCAAATTATTCGGCTCTACCCCAGGGCTCGGAAACCAGGAACTCTGGGAGCTGGGGCTAACAATGCTTTAAGAAGCCCTCCGGATAAATATTCTTATTGCTCAAGTTTAAGAAGAATTGATCGAAGGCTTTCGCGCCGGAGGCTTCGCCTGGGCCTGTCTAGAAAGGACGACTGCATAAACAGGGTCGAGGAGTGAGGACAGAAATTGCGCTCCGACTGGGTCAGAGGTTGGTGGCGAGGCAAAGCATAAAGTAGGAAGGCTAAAGGAGAGTTGGATGGGGCCGTCCCCTTTGCTGAGACCTGTGCTAGATAACCCTTGCTAGAAACGGTCAAACTGGGCTATACTCAGAATCGGTAGGATTCTCCCTGGAAGGGGTCAGAGGAAATAACCTCTGCTCCGCCCCTACTCTGAGCAAGGGGATTGGGAAGTAGGGGTGGTGTCTCGACTTCCTTTGGAGACCCCTAGATTACCAGTCACTTGTCTCAAGTTACTGTCCCCCTCTCCAGAGCAGTCTGTGTAAGGGCCGTAGCCTGTAGCCAAAGCGAGTGAAGTGAAGTCGCTCAGTCGTGTCCGACTCTTTGCTACCCCATGGACTGTGGCCTACCAGGCTCCCCTGTCCATGGGATTTTCCAGGAGAGAGTACCAGAGTGGGTTGTCATTTCCTTCTCCAGGGGATCTTCCTGACCCAGGGATTGAACCTGGGTCTCCCACACTGCAGGCAGATGCTTTACCCTCTGAGCCAGGAGGGAAGCTAGCCTGTAGCCAAGAGACACATAAATGCACAGCCAATATCCAGGCTTTAGTTTAGGGTCATTTTCTCCCTCTCCTCTGAAATTTCCACCGGTTCCTCCAGAGACTGAGCAAGCCTAGCAGGTTGATGCACTGTAACAAACAGTTTGCTCTGCTCGGATTCTTTCCGCACAAAATCAAGACTGTGAATAACACTAGCCTAGCCTTGCTTTCCAGGCTTCCTCCGGTGGCTCAGCGGTAAAGAATCCGCCTGCAATGCAGGAACCACAGGAGACACAGGTTCTATCCCTAGGTGGGGATGATCCCCTAGAAGAAGGCATGGCCATCCTCTCCAGTATTCTTGCCTCAAGAGTCCCATGGACAGAGGAGCCTGGTGGGCTACAGTCCATAGGATCTCAAAGAGTCAGACGTGACTGAAGCACCTTAGTACACTGGCAAGCAGCCTTGATTTCTACCCCAAGCACTCCTGGTGGTGCCAGTTCATTTTCCTACAACTAGAATGTCTTATAAACGCATAGGGGTGTTTTTTAGTATAAATGCATTGGGGTGTCTTCAGTTAAATAACAAGGAGCTCAGGTTCAGATTGGATCCTGGTGATTAGCCTGCCAGGGCAGGAGTCGGAGATGTGGCTGAGGTTACAGCTCTCTTTCTGAAGTTTCCTGTGTGTGATTTAAAAGGAAAGTGAAAGTCAAAATCTCTCAGTTGTGTCCAACTCTCTGGGACCCCATAGACTGTAGCCCTCCAGGCTCCATGGAATTCTCCAGACAAGAATACTGGAGTCGGTAGGCACTGTCTTCTCCAGGGGATCTTCCCAACCCCAGGGTCAAACCCAGGTCTCCTGCATTGCAGGCAGATTCTTTCCCACCTGAGGCATCAGGGAAGTCTGTATAAGCAGAAGAAGAACTGGAAACCTGGGCTTAGACACACAGTTGGGTTTTACCCCTCTTCTTCTGTGAATTCTGCTGTGATTCTTCTGTGACCTCTGCTTATGACTACTAGGCTACTGTACAGACCACGACTAATCAGCCATTCACAGTCTGAGGTACTGAGGCAATGAACAAGCAGGCTAATTTCATATATATAATAGAAAATATATAAATATCTATAAAATATATACATAATATCAATATATTTCATAGATTGTGATCCTAGACTTCTAACATATGATAAATCTATCATCAACATTTACAGGAAATATCTCAAATCTATATGTTCTTTTGCACATCGTCAGCTGCCCACATCTCGCCTCTGGGTATTGATATAAATCTCAGCTTGCCAGCATTTCCCATCTAGTATAAATATCCCTGTTCCTAATCACTCCTCTGTGGGTGTATTAGTTCACACTTCCCAAAGAGGAAAGTCCTTTGGACTCCATTAAGACACAGTTACACAATTACTGGTAGAATTTCCCCATTTATTTCCAGCTGCAGATTTAATTAAAATGACATCCTTTCTTCTTTGTCCTTCATAATATCATAGCATTATCACTTTGCAATTATTTTGATTATTGCAAAAAAACATGATCGTTAGAAAGTGTCAAATCCTTGGTTTACACACATTTCTTAGTCCTCTAGTTTAAATTTTCAATTTACAGAAGAGGAAAACAAGGCCTGGAGAGATAAGGTGCCTAATCTAAGATGCCACAGTGCTTTAGATGCTACACTGTGACTAGAATCGAGCCTTCTAAACCTGTAGTGAGAGCTTCTTGTAAATAGAAAATAACCTGATGTTGGTATAGCGTGGTAATGATCAGCAACATCTGATGATCTCTATTGCCATCGCTGGTTTTTCAGAACTAGAGAGAAGAGAAACCCCTGATAATCACTTGCAACAGCTCCTAATCAACATAGAATTAAGGAAAACAGAGCAGCACTGGCACCGTATGGACTGACTGGCTCTAAGGAATGTGCTGGCAGATTGCAGCAGGTGCCAGTGCAGCATTTTAAAAGTGGTTTTCAGACAGAGTCCATATGTTGTAACCAAGCCACAGGATATACAGGTGAGACAGACAGGAATCAGCAAGCTTTCAATGTCACACAAAGGGCATTTCACGGCAAAGATTACATTTTAAAGCAGAATCATTGTCCTTTCCTTCTGTCTTGGGGTATTAGAGTGGTGTTGTCTGTGAGAGCCAAAAGTTCCAATACCCAGAGGTGTTCACCAACTCCTAAGTCACAGCTATGAAATGAAGGGAAAGCTAGCTGAGCTGCAGGTGTGTTTCAGTTTAACAGCGACCAGTACAAAAGTGAAGAGTTAGAAAATGATATATTAGGAAGCAATGGTTTGTAATTACTATAGGTTTGCTGAAGGATTCTTTTATCCCTCCTTTGAGGATTTAAAATATAGTTTATTTGACAATAGCTGTAATTATGTGTAAACTCTCAGAAATATATTAAAAATAGGTCCAGTCTAACACTGTTTGATCTTTTATTTGAAAATGGCCCACCTACTACTCTCTCTGGGGATGGTTTTTCTCTCCATCCCTGCTATTTCTGGGCAGAGGTATAAGATAAAACCTGTAGATGCTAAATGGATGGTTCTGATGGATAACCTCAGATATGCAGATGATACCACCCTTATGGCAGAAAGTGAAGAGGAACTAAAAAGCCTCTTGATGAAAGTGAAAGAGGAGAGTGAAAAAGTTGGCTTAAAGCTCAACATTGAGAAAANGGCCTGGCGTGCTGTGATTCATGGGGTTACAAAGAGTCAGACACGACTGAGTGACTGAACTGAACTGAACTGATGGAGAAATGGGAGGAAAGAAGA